TTGATAGTCATGATGTTTTCTCCGTAGTTTACATGTAGTTTTCGATAAACTTTCATCATAAAGCCTTTGAAGAACCCGAGGACACGTGAGAACACAAGCTGTTGTTGAGCCGTTTCTGCTAAGCAGGTTGGGAATAAACGAGAACGTCAATATATTGGATTTAGCCGGCGGTGGCCTGAACCTGCGTCTGAGACGTGGAGCCGATCCTCAACAGGGAATTAAAAAAACCTCTTGAAAAAGACGGCTCATTCCAACACTACCTATTAAAAACCTGTTTGGAGCGGGTCCAAGACGGTGACGCACAAAAGGCAACACAAAGTCACCGACAAAATGGACCAAAGTGGTGACGCCTTATTCTCACCGGAGGCTGGGTGGGTAATGTAAGACGCTCAAATGTCAAGGGGACAAAGAGACGTAGAAGAAATACTTCTCTTCTTTTTGGTCATACGTATTCGCAGATATCCAGGTGACAAAAAGAGAGGGCGTCCTTTTGTCAAGGTGTCTTTACAGTCCACCGCTCCGGGAGAGAAGTACAACGAGACAATGAAGGAGCCCCGCGAGGAACCGGGCCGGCAGGACTATTTTTATCCACCCTCGCCTCCAACCTTCACTCACAAACCAAGCATGAAATGAGCAGAACATCTAAAGTATTACTCCACTCCTGCGGGCAGCAGACGAGGGGCCGTTTGGACTTCTTTACTTTCATGAACCACAACTTCCACATCGGCGGCTGTCCGTCGTCAAACCAAATACGTTTATCGATGTCGGTCGTTTCCGACGTTCTCTTTGGCTCGATGAGGTAAAAACCGGCACTTCCTGTAGGTGAGAAACGAGGAGCTGGAAAAGAGACCGGTTCACTGTGAGATTCATAGAGGCCTCTCAGACAGCGTCCCGGCCCCGCATCCCGCCACCCAGGCTCCACGGCCTTCGTCCTCGGACAACGTCTCAGAGCAGACCGCCCTTTGTTAAAGTTCAGTGAGGTCCTCTGGATGGAAAAAGAAGAAGGATTTGTTGAAACGTTTCGTCTTTTAGTCAAAATGCTTAGAGTCTGAGGAGCTGCAATAAACTCAGTTTAATAAATAGCACCTTCTCACAGCCGAAACTACCGGAAGCTGTGCACAGGAGGACCAGCAGCAGGCCTGTCACCGGAACAGATGGTGCTGGGCGATCGACCCTCTCAGAAATTATTGCGATAAACGATAATATTGTTTGAAATTTGGCTATTATTATTTATCATTGACCTTTATTTAACCAGGCAAATCCCACCGAGATCACAGATCTCTTTTGCAAGGGAGGCCTGGACCTGAAGGCAACATGCATGTTTTTGGTCTGTGGGAGGAAACTGGAGCAACACGGAGAGAACATGCAAACTCCACGCAGAAAGACCCCGGGTCCAACTGGGGATTGAACCCAGGACCTTCTTGCTGTGAGGCAACAGTGCTAACCACTGCCTGGGCAATGATGGATGGATGGATGGATGGATCCATCCATCCATCCATCCATCCATCACTGCCGGAGCTGCTAGCTCTCCACTGTTCCTCCGCCTGCACCAGCTGAGTGAAGCGAGCGTGCACGGGGGACTCACTGTTGCAGTTCTTAGAGATTTAAAGCGTCAGTCAAAAATAGATTTATGAATAATATTTTAATTTACTCTTTATTTCTACAGGAAGTCTCATTGAGTCACGAGAACTCCTTTTCAAGCGAGACCGCTGCGACTCGTGCTCTGGAAAACAGCGATTTATTAATTTGTTTGTTTTGAAGCCAACTTGTATTTTCCACGTCTCTGTACAAACCACATTATGAAAACAACGACTGAGACGGGATCAAGACCACTTGGTTTCATTCTAAACTCCGGCGATGCGACCGGGACGTTGATCTGCCGTCACGTGGACGGTCCAACGTCCCGTGGACGGTCCAACGTCACGTTGCCAAAACACAAACATTGTAAAAGCGACCGCGCTCGAAGCCGTGCAGGCGGCGACTGACCCGTGCCTTTAATCAAAAACGCCGACAGCGAGCGCCTACGACCTCCAGCACCTCCGCTGACGCCTTCACGTGACGATACGTCTGCGCTTCTTTCATTAACGCAAAAGGAAACGAGGCTCCGCAGCCCCCCCGCACCGCCCCCCCACTTCTGTCTCCCAGAGAAATAATTGCCGTTCTTTGTAGGTCAGCTTTATTTGTCCGCTCTCTAGTCCCTGGTTCCCCAGCAGGGAAGCCACATCTGCAGCCTGGAGATGACAGAATCGTGCCGCAGCCACTTTACACAGACATATGTGCACCAGTGTGTGTGTGTGTGTGCACCAGTGTGTGTGTGTGTGTGTGTGTGTGCATGTGTGCACCAGTGTGTGTGTGCACCAGTGTGTGTGTGTGTGTGTGTGCACCAGTGTGTGTGTGTGTGTGTGTGCCGTTAACAGTGTGAAGAAAAACAAACGAGGAACTAACAATCTCAACTCCCGCGGCGAGGGAGAGGAAACAAAAGAGAATAATGTGGTCGGAAACACTCGAAGCTGTAAAACAAAGAGACGAGAGGAAGAGACCGGTCGTCCTTCAGCAGCCGAAGAGCTCCAGAAGCTACACGCTCAGCCGAGGAGCTCCAGAAGCTACACGCTCAGCCGAGGAGCTCCAGAAGCTACACGCTCAGCCGAAGAGCTCCAG